TTTTTTGTTTTTGTTTTTTTTGCTCTATGTTTGCTTGTGCATCATCATCAGCCAGCTGCTAGGTCAGCTGGAGGCTGGTCGACAATCAGCTGAAGCACCTTTGCTCTTCCCATCATGGTCCCTCATCCTCTAGCAGACTAGCCCAGGCTTGTCCACACAGTGGAAAGTCCTACAGCAGCCAGCCCCATTACGCAGGCACTTTTGAAGTCTCTTCCATGTCACAATTGCTGTTGTCCCATTGATCCAATCAAGTCACATGGCCAGACAAGATCCACAAACACTGCAAGAGTGTAGACACAGGGAAGGGGGACATTTGTGGCCATTTTTACACCTTACCACAGCATGAGATGTAAAATTTTGTTCACCAACTTCTCCACAACAATTTCTCACAGAAAAGAGTCATAGTGACAGAAGTCTCTATTGGAGATTCCTTATGCTTCACCCTAGGCAAGCAAGGAAGGACCAGGAGCAAACAGTCTTTAGGACTTCTAGTCACACTAGAACAGTCCCATGTGGTCCATGAGCCAGGACCACATCCAGCCTGGAAGGAAGGCAGCACACTTTGAGACAAGGAAGAATTGAATGGGAGAAGAGCAAGGAAGGAGAAAGCCCCTTCCAGAAGATGTCAGTCTAGCACCGCTGCTCCCATTCATCATTTACCACCTATCCCTGAAGAGAGTTCTCATTCAACCTCAATATATACATATTGTCATCAGCAAAAAAAAGTAAAAGCAACTAAGTTCTGCTTTTTGTTCTATATTTGTCTTCTTTTTACTTTTTTGTTTTGACAGTCTAGAGCGGGGGACTGTAAGAACTGGGCCAGGAAAGCTACCTACCACATAATGGACAAGGTTACATAGTCAGACAAAGCCCCCAAGGTAAGTGTGTTATTGTGTAACATAAGGCCATGAGTGCATTTTAGAATATTAAATTATTTTTAAAAATTGTCCTTGGGTCTTTGGCCTTCTTTATTTCTTCCACTTAGATGCCTCACTTATTTACCCAGAACATAAACTATGGCCTTCCTCTGTGGCTACAACTCTTTGGCAGGGGTGGAGGGGCCTTAGTGTTTAACTAAACCACAAATAATTTGTCTCCAAAGAATAATCCCATCCCTACCTTCCATGCTCCTACCCTACCCCCACCCTACCCACACAGCTTGGTGGTTAACCCCTTAACGAAGTTCCAAAATGTCTGTTCCTCCTTCATTCAGGAGGACCAGGCCTGTAGAACTAAGACCAGACCCTGACAGTAGACACATTCATGGCCAAGCTCTCAGGCAACTTCTCCTGAGTCTTCAGAGTCATATGAGCTATAGGTAGGACACTACTTGATCCCAGGGTGCTCTTACTTGTTTCCCAATTCACAGGCCTGGTGGCACAGGAATAATGCCTCCCCCAAAGGTGTTATATTCATTTTCTAGGGCTGTGAAGAAAAATTTGTTCCAGCTTCTGATGGTTTTCCAGCAATCTTTGGTGTTCCTTGACTTATAGATGCATCACCCCGATCTCTGCCTCCATGTTCGCATGGAACTCTCCATGTGTGTGTGCATGTCGCTGTGTCCAAATATCCCCTTTTGATAAGGACATAGTCATATCAGATTACTGCCCACCATAATGACCTCATCTTAATTTGATCATCCGTGAAGACCCTATTTCCAAATAAGGTCAAATTCACAGGCACTGGGGGTTAAGACTTCAAAACGTTTTGGGGAGTTACAATTCAACCCATAACAGATGTCTACACAGTAATCCCTGGAACCTGTCAATATTTTGCCTTACATGGCAAAAGGGACTTTGCAGATGTGATTAAGGTTACTCAAGGGACTTTGAGATAGATTATCCTGGATTATCCAAGTGAGCCCAATGTAATCACAAGTCCTTAAAACTGGAAAAGCTTTTCCCACTATAGAGGGATATGTGAGGATAAAAGAGTGCTCAGAGAGATTCAACACTGAGGATGACATTAGGGGGCCACAAGCCAAGGAATGTGGTTGCCTCCAGAAGCTGAAAAAGGCAAGGAAGTGGATTATTTCCTAGAGCTTTCAGAAAAGAATGCAGCCCTGGGGCGCCTGGGTGGCTCAATCGGTTAAGTGCCAACTCTTCGTTTCAGTTCAGGACATGATCTCACGGTTCATGAGTTCGAGCCCTGGGTCAGGCTCTGTGCTGACGGTACGGAGCCGGCTTGGGATTATATCTCTCTCCCTTTCTCTCTGCCCTCCCATGCTTGCTTTCTCTCTCTCTCTCTTTCTCTCTGTCAAAATAAACTTTACAAATATTTAAAAACTAAGAAAAGAATGCAGCCCTGCTAACACCTTGATTTCAGGGAAAGGAGACTCATGTCAGACTTCTGGCCTATAAAACTATAAGATACTAAAATTGTACTATTTAAGCCCCCAAGTTTGTGGTAACTTTTCAAGCAGGGACAGAAAAGAAAGAAGCTGAGATTAAGCCTAACCAGATCTTACATCCTGTTCCCTGGAAGCAGAGCCTGAGACAGGGATTTTGTGCAAGTGATTTACTGGGGGAGCAGGATAGGGCAGGAGGAGAAAGCTAAGCAAGGATGGGATCTTTACTGGAGACTAGCTTCCACTTGATCCTGTGGGAGGCTCTGAAGTATAAATAGCACAACATTAATCAAATTTCTGCAAGGCTTTTATACCTCCATGCTAGTCAGTGATTGATCAAGAACTATAGGGGTTAGGGTGAGGTGGAAGTGAGCAGGGGAGGAGCAGAGCTTGCAGAGACAGGAACAGCTATGAGTCATCAGCCCATACTCACACTGGCTGGGAAATGGAGACCCTACACATAACCTAGGGCAGAGCCATCTAAATCTAATCTTAGGACCTTCAGGAGCCTCATGCATATTCCACAAGGACAATATTGGTTCACAATTTTAGGGTGCATTTTCCCTCTGCCTCCTGAAGGACATGACTTTGCCATGGTCAGTCCAAGGCATCTATTTGCTGGAAGATGGAGTGGGGCAGTGGGGGAGGAGATGGAGATTTTGCTGCAGAGGGCGTGAAGACAGAAAGACCAAAGTAATATTTGGCTTTTAAGATTCAAAACTGAAATATGCAGCAGGCAAGGGCCTTATAAGCCAAGAGATTGTCTTCAGGAAGGATTTTCCAGAATCCTTTGTTCTCTTCTTATAGCCAATTAGCAAATGGAAGACTCTGGTTTTTACTGTAGTGAAAGCAGGGAGATCTTTGTCTGCCATGAAGGCATAACTGGAGTCAGGAAAAAGGAAATATGACAAAGGGGAATAAAAGAAGCCCACCCCTTTTCCAGGCAAAGAAGTTGTGAAAAGTACGAGTGTGAGGTAAGGAAGTGGTCACAGGGGTGTGTCCTGAGCTCCCATTTCTGGAATGTGCAGTAGCCACACTGAGAGATAAGAGGGCCTCGGACAAACCTGAAACAGTCACCTTACAGTCAACTGCATGGCACAGTGGGATCAAGTACAGGTGTCCCTGATCTTTGCAAGCTGCCTTCGGTCCCTGTAGGGTGTAACACCTAGGTTAAGAGCCAGAGGTCCCACCACAAGACCGCTGTAGCAGGACAATTTCACCCTGCAGTGGGCTGCACAGAGGCCTCAACAAGTACCCAGGGGTCTGCAGTCAGCAGGAGCCTAGGGGAGGCCTGGTCATCCTAGGAGGCTCTAGGCCTTGCCCACACCAAAAGAATAGTCAGATCCCAAGTTGCACTGGCAAGAAGACATCAGCCTGGGGTCCAGAAGAGGCTAAGGAACCTGCCTAAGTCCCTCTCCTCAGGGAGTAGGGAAGGTGCTTTCTCACCAAATGAGTGTCTGAATGTCTCCTGATAGGCCCATTTATAGCATCACAGATGACTACACTGAAGCCAAATTGGCATTTCATTTAATTTTGTCCCACTAACAACCAGATGGGGCCTCAGTAGACTCATTAAAGATCAAATAAAAATAATCTGGAGGAACGGGGACACCTTGGCTCAGTTGGTTAAGCATCTCTTGATTTTGGCTCAGATCATGATCTCACGGTTCATGAGATCGAGCCCCGTGTTGGGCTCTGCACTGACAGTGTGGAGCCTGCTTGGGATCTCTCTCTCTCTCTCTCTCTCTCTCTCTCTCTCTCTCTCTCTCTGCCCCTCTCCCACCAAAATAAATAAACATTTTTTAAATAAAAATTTTTTATACACCCCATGTGCAGGTGAGTTTAATTCTGCCATGTGTACAATGAAGAGGCTTAGCCAAATGATTAACTTTAGAATTATGATTTTAGATCTGATACAGCAGGAGGTCACCAGAGCCGAGGACAATCTGAGACAGCCCCAAAGGAGAAGAGGACTGCCCTCCTTCTCCACCACAGGGAGGCAGCCCCCAGGGAAAACAAGCCCTCATGCCCGGTCCCTGCCCCAGCTTGTGGGACTTGGCTCAGAGTGCCGAGCTAAAGGCCCTCACTTCCATGCTGCACCCTCATACCTGGGTCTGCCAGTACTCTCTGCTCCTCTCCCACCCTGACACATCAGGGGCTTTGGACTTTCCAGGGCTCATTAGTGCCTCTGTCATCAGAGAGAGGGCATAGGAGAGGAAACTGGCCTCTTCTGGCAATGCTCAAGAAAGGCTTGGTGGAGAGAAGGGGAAGAATCCTGCTAGGTTACCATGAGGTTTGGAGATGCCTGGTGAGTTCTACTGGCCCACTCAGAGCCACACTGAACTCAGCATTCTCAGAACATGCTAGCTCTTTCTGCATGACCATGGCTTCACTTGTTTTTGCTTTCATGTCAGCTCTTTTTCTTCAAGCACATGGTTTCTCCTTCAAGCCCCACTCCAGTGGAACCTCCTCAAGGAAGAAATTCCTGCTGACTCCAGGAAGATATGGCACCCTCCACTGGGCTACATCATGTCCTTGCTGCCAGTACAGAGGGAATGCAGTAACTTTGGAGTGCTTGTGCCTTACCTGTTCGACTAAACTTCCCAAACTTGGGTGCAGCCTCAGTCTCAACCCTGCATCCCCAGGGCCTGGCACAATGAAGACACTGAACATTCCCACAAGACTTTTGTCCCTTTTTCAGTCATGGTTCTAGCTTCATGCCCTTGATCTCTTCCTCTGGTAACTCTTCAGATATCTCATGTGATTCACTCATTCAGCAAATATTTACTAAATACCTACCATATGCCCCGACATTGAGTTGAACACTAGAGCTTGGACAAATATAAGACATGGGCTCTGACCTCAAGGAGCTCAGCCTATTGATTAAGACAGACAGGTGAACAAATCATTGTAAAATAATGTGGTTCCAGCAACAACATTGCACGCAAGGCATTACAGGAGTGCTAAGAAGGGACACTGCAAGGCTTAGGTCCAAGAGGCTAATGGTAGGTCCAAGAGGCCAATGGTTCTGCACATGGGTTGGGTGGAGAGGAGTGCCACAGAGAGGGTTGCCAGCTCAGACACCGTCCATGTGAATGACACATGCGCACACACGCACACACAGATTCCCACCCCCAAGGCGCCAGCTAAGCTTAAAACAGACTGTGACATGTCAGATCTGAAATCCCAGTCCTTTTCCCAGTGAAAAAAAATGGGAATTAAGTTAAAGTTTTCTTTGAAAGTTCTTCTAATGGCCTGGCTCCACATTCCAAGCCATGGTCCTCCTCTGCATTCAGCTTATGTAGTGGTGGCCACTGCCCTATATAGAGAGGAGATTTGGAAGCCCCACACCTAAAACACAGCATCTCCTCTACCCAGGCTATCCCTTGGAGTTATGGGGTTCAAGCCAAACTCACTTTGAGCTCTTGAGATAAAGTTGATATTAAGGGCTCTTCCAAAAATGAAAGAGAAGACTCCAACTGGGTGCAAAGTCGGGGACCATCAATAATCCATTCAGACCCCTTCATAACCATTCCCCATTGTGACATGTGGTGTCTGGTGGGCTTTCCTGCCCAACCACCAGCACTTGCATCTCTGTTGGTGGCCTGCCCTAGGCTGTTGGAGCCCGCTGTGTTGTTGGGCATGGACCATGAGTTGGCCCAGGGACAGCACATTGGTGACATACCGATAGGGAAAGGGTGTGAACACCCTCCTGTCTTTTGTGCAGACACAAATCCCAGAGCACCACTGCAGGGCTGAGCTAGTCACCTTCTGCGGGCTTTGCTGCGCCTCTTTCCCTCCCCAGCCCACTTTCCACTCCCATCCTGGTCTTTAATACAGCACTGTCCCATGAAGCCTCAGGCAATATGCTTCCAGGGAAGGCAGCCTCATGATGGGGGGTGGGGGGTGGAGGGGATGGGTTGTGCTCCCCCACTGGCTTGACTTAGGTGAGCCTTAGGATCTTTGTTCACCACCTGGTGACAGGCACCTGGGCCCCTTCTCTAGGCTACAAGCCACAGTGTGACAAGACCTGTCTCACCTCAGTAAGTGCCCTGTTTCTCCATAATCTGGGCAAGGCACTGGGAGCCCACCAAACCTTCTGGACCAAGGACTTCTCTGATAAAATGTTAAGAGGTCTCCTACAAGCCATTGAAAGTAGCTTCCTACGTAAACTTTGCTTGGTTTAGCCCAAGCTAACACTTCTGCAAAGTGTCATGAAGAAGGCACACAGGTTTGAGTCCTAACCACTCATCCGGAGTTATAATGGGGAAGACTATGGGAGCACTTTCACCAGGAAAGGGAAGAAAACAAAAGAATTCTCACTTGACATTGACTGAGTTTTCCTTGCCAGTTTGTTCTGAAGGAAATTCTGTTCTAACTGTCCTTGACCACAAAAGATCATGAAAATACTAAGGGAACATTTTTAGGCTTAATGTAGCGCCTCTAAATCATGTATCTTGGCAGCACAGATCCTGCTGACTCGGGATGTCAGAATTGGCAGGTGTGAAAAATCCCTACCGTCCATCACTGTAAAACTCATCTTCTCCCTGGGGTCTGAAGCTAGCAGAGCTGAGGAAAAAGAAAACACATCAAGCAGGAGACACTGCAGGAAAAACAGCCAGGGCTTTCAGATTCAGAGACAGCGACATTCATCATCATTAGCCAAATGAAGAGTTAAGCCAAAGGCCGGCAACCCCTTCATTACTGGCTCCCCCCTCTGAAGGGCTGGCAGAAGGTGGGCCAGATAGTTTTTGAGAGGCCCATGGTTTGTGGCACTTGGGCGTGAGGTGGCCTCATCAAGACCTTCAACAAAGGCATGGCCAGATACGGCTCTGATCTAGGTGCTCTGGACAGAAATTTGATAGAAGGTACATGTCAATCAGAGGACAGTTGACATGAAGGACAAGATGAGGTTCTGGAGACGGCATGGGTAGGATCAAGCGGGAGAGGCTTCAGGAATGAAGAGACTTCAGGGGCGTCTATAGCTGTGGTGAGGACTGCTATATATTCACTAAAATGCATTTCCTGTCTTCACTGGCACACAGCTAGATACATTTCTCAGCCTCCCTTACATTAGCCATTGGCATGTGATGCAGTTCTGGCTAATGGAATGCGGACAGAAATGTGGTGTACTTGCCCTCACTTGAGCCATAGAACCTCCTACAGGATGCCCCCCACTCCCTTCCCCTACCTGCCTTCCAGAAGCAGAGGATGTAATGGATGACACTGAAGCCCTAGAGGAGAACAGAGGCACAGTTGGAAGGAATCTGGGCCCCTACATGACTGCATAAAGCAAAAGCCCCAGTCCCACATGGTCAGCCAGACTTTGTGTGTGGAAGAAGTAAACGTGTATTGTGTGAAGCCCCTGAGATTTAGGGCTTCATCTGTTATAGCAGCTAATATTACCTAAATTCATTCAGCAGGGAAGCTGAACCATGACAAAAGCAACCTTCAGTGTTTCACAACTGAGCCAAGAATGGACACTGCAGACAATAATCCTAATGAGAAACAAACCAACAAAAAACTAGCTACCTGGATCAAAGCTTTCCTTTCCCAGTTTGAGAAGCAGTGTACAAAGAACAGGTGCTATGCAGGCTGACAGGCCAAGAAGTGAATTCTAGCTTTGTCCCTGGCTAGTCATGGGATCTCACAAGGAAGCTTCTCCTCTAAGGCTCAATTGCCTCACCTTTAAAACAGAGATAGCCGGGGCACCTGGGTGGCTCAGTCTGTTGAGCATCCGACTTCAGCTCAGGTCATGATCTTGCAGTTCTTGAGTTTGAGCCCCACGTCGGGCTCTGTGTTGACAGCTCAGAGCCTGGAGCCTGCTTCAGATTCTGTATCTCCCTCTCTCTTTGCCCCTCCCCCATTCACACTCTGTCTGTCTCTCAAAAATAAACATTAAAAATTAAAAAAAATAAAATAGAGATAGCCATGTCCAATTTCTGTGGTCGTCATAATATTCAGACTCAATGAGATTACATATCTAGTGTCCACACAATGCCTGATGCATAGCAGGCCCACATTAAATATGAGTTTTCCATTTTCTTCCTTGTCTTCCTCCAGAAACTTCTCCACACTGCCATTTTTCCCCCATAATCACTGGATAGTGTCCGACCTCAGAAAAATGGCAGACACATATACGTCTCACAATTTATCAGGTGCAGGAGAAAGACAGGAGCTGGTGCTGGCCTTCTCTGTCACACTGGGGCAACTTGACCAAGGCTTTCATTCCAGTGATTGATCATGTTCATTTTGAGCTACATTTGGCTGCTCAGAAAAATTCGTCCCCAGCCCTCACAGTGAGCTGGAAGGCTGGCCTGGCCCCAAAGATACCTCAGCAAATCTGCTACCCAGCTCCAGTGGCGGGCAGCCAGGCGTCTGGTCCCTCAGCCTCAGTCGTGCAGCTGTGACTGACAGGCAGCGGGGAGCTGAAGCTCTGATGTGAAGATCTGCTTTGGCTTCTAGAAAAATAGCAACAGCAGCAGCAGGCTCCACTGGAAAGCAGCCCCTGCCAGCACGGCTGATGCTGACACCCCACCGCCCAGGGACCCACACCGGAGGGTAAAACAGCAGGTAATTGATGGCTTCCCAAACTAACTTAGCAGACTGAGTTGACTCTGGAGTTTAAGACAGAGGTTTGATTCCAGCCAGACCCTAGTGGGCCATTTCCTGACAGCTCAGAGCAGAAAGCAAGAACTGAATGTTGCTTCCTCAGCTATATACAGAAATAATCCCTTGCAAGTGTGGGAGGCTCTAGCAGTGGGCCTCAGATCTGGCTGCACACAGGAATCACTTGGCAGCTTAAAAATTCCTGATGCCGAGGCCATGACCCAGGCCAACGCCATCAGAATTTCTGGGGCTGGGACCCAGGCATCTGGGGGTTTGAAAGCTTCCCCCAGGTGATTCCACCATGCAGTCAAGGGTGAGAATCCCCGGGCTACAGATTCCAAGCACTCACCCTGACATTAGCTGCCGTGATGTAGGACTGTTGGCTGCATTGGAGAGAGAAGTTCCCCCAAGTCCTACGTTTGATAAGTGAAGGAGCTAGGATGTGGCCCCAGCCTTTTGGTATTTAATTCAGTAATCTCTCCTTAACCCTTCTGGCCTCATCTTCCTCTTCTGTAAAATGAGAATCCCATTAACCTACCTCACAGGTTGTTGTAAGGATGAAACAACTCAATTTTATTGTTTAATTTATTTTGCTTAATATCTACACATGGCCTTCCAGTGTGCCCAGCACCCTTCAAGCACTTTACCAATATTAACTCAGCTTAGTTCACTAAAATAGCCTCCTGTACGCTCCTACGCCACTGGGGGGAATTGCTCTGGGGAGTGATTTAACAACATGAGCAATTGCCTTTAAAACGTGTGAACTTTTTGACCCAGCAAAATCTTAAAAGTCATGAAAGGAAATAATTAAGGGTGCATGAAAAAATTTAACCACAAGGGTGATCGCTGCAGTTTTTATAATGACAAAAAATGGAAACACTGATTTTCAAATATAAGGGATTCATTAAATAAATCAGCAAAAAGCTGAACCAGCATGGCTCGGTTTTAAATGGTGTGTGGCACACCCTTCCATGTTATCTGACTCTAATTCCATGGGAGCTATTTTACAGTTTTGCAAACTGTATAACTGACAGCAATGTAGTTTCTCTTCTCTTGCCTAGGTACGTGCAAATCCTATCCTGCCCTGTCCTGTAGAAGTTCAAGGGACTGCCCTCCCCCACTGCGGAAGAGACTAGTTTTGCCTCCATTTGCACATTCATTTCAACATTCTTGATCTATAAATGTGTCCATTCTTTGGATTTTCTTTTGAACTGGTTATATATACCATCTGCTTGGTTTCCTCATTTTCACTGAGTTAAATAAAATCTTTAACAAGTGTAAAATGAAATGGAATAAATAAATGGTATGTGGCAAACATCCTAGGGTGGTCCGCACCTGGCATAATCCCCTCCCCTTGAGTGTGGGCAGGACCCACAACTTGCTTCTAACCAATGGAATATGGCAAAGGTGATGAGATGTCATGGTTACATTATAATGTAGATATAAATAGGTATAGACAGGTATCAGCACAGATACAATACTTATCTTGCTAGTGCACACTAGAAAGACTCACTTGCTGGCTTTGAACAGCTGCCATATTGAAAACTGCCTATGGAGAGAGCCACATGGCAGGGGATTGCTGGTGGCCTCTAAAACCTAAGGGCAGCCTCTAGCCAACAACAAGGAAGAAGCTGAGCCCTTAGACACACAGCTTCAGGAGAATGAATTTAACCAATGACTTAAATGAGCTCAAATGTGGACCCTTCCCTAGTCAAGCCTCCGGTTGAGAAAGCAGCCTGGCCTACATCATGTTTGTAGCCTCATGAGACCTTGAGCAAAGGCTCTAGCTAAGCCAGGCCTGGACTCTTGATGAGTGGAAACTGTGAGAAAATAAATGGTGTTGTTTTAAGTTACTGGATATGTGGTAATTTGTTACACTGAAATAGAAACTAATAGAGGTATTGTGGAAGAATATTCTTTTACATGAAAGAAATCAACAAAATATTATTCAATTACAAGCTCAGAATATAAAGCAATATGATCCAACACCCCCCCCGCACACACACACACACACAATCTAGAAAGCTAATAATATAGAACTTGAGATGATTTGTATTTCTTCTTTTTGATTCTCTGTACCTTCCAAAATTAGTTGCATTTTTAATATAATATTAGAAAATGTTGAAATAAAAATACTGAATAAAATACTCAAGTATTAACAGTGGTTCTGTAAGGGTGGCGAAATTATGGTTGAATTTTATATTCCAGAATTCAGAAAATTATTTTAATTTTTCTACTTTGAAGAGCTGACACTGACTGGTGTAATTAAACAGAATAAATAAATAACTCCCAATTATTCTTTCAATTACAGAAGAAAAATCCCACCTTCATTGCTCCCAGACTTAAGTAGGAGGGAAAAACCATCCATGTATGGTCTGTCAGCCACACAGAGATACAGGATAACACAGAGTTAATAGCACAGACTCTAGTGTCATATGACCTGGATTCTGAGTCTGGCTACCTGATTGTATTTTCTGGACAAATTATTTAGTCTCATCTAAAAATGGAATAATAACTACTACCCCAGAGGGTAAGGATATCATGGGGATTCAATAAGATAGTTTATATAATTTATTTTTAAATGACCCTGGTATATGATAGGTGCTCAATAAATGTTGGTTAGTGTTATCATCATCATCATCCAACTTCCTATTGCAAGAGTGGCCATTATTTCAGGCCCAATGTTGTTCTTAGGCTCATTAAAAGAAGTGCTAAAGAGGGGTGCCTGGTTGGCTCAGTCAGTTGAGTGTCTGACTTTGGCTCAGGTCATGATCTCATGGTTTGTGGGTTCAAGCCCCGTGTTGGGCTCTGTGCTGTCAGCATGGAACCTACAGCCTGCTTTGGATTCTGTGTCTGTCTGTCCACCTCCCTCTCTCTTTCTCTCAAAAATAAATAAACATTAAAAATTAAAAAAAAAACAAGTACAAAAGAAAAACATAAGAATTATAATTATGGCATATTAATTCAGATATTTAAATGAATATCACATGCCTTGAAAGACCTAAAGTGGATGCTGTGGGATGCTGAAGACACAATTTGCCCACTTCAATGCTAGAAAGAGGTTCTTCAGTATAATTAGCACTATGTTTCCGCTGGGGTGACATGAGGTGGTTGGAACTGGCCCTTTAAGAATCTGAGTCAAGCTGGTTTGAGGTTTATTACGTGCTATAATAAACTGGTTCGTTATGGTATGAGGTGAGCCAGGTCTAGGTCAAAACTCTCTCAACATTCCAGGGGCCTCTGGGCACTGGGTGGGAGGTGGAAGCACTCCAAGGCCACCGTGAAGCACAGCTGAAGAGTTACAGCTGCCCTTGGGATGGTGTCAAAATCTGGGCTTGGTAGGGGCAGGCCAGGCCAAGGAGACTTGACAAACAGGCTGGAGCAGGAGAGAGGCCAACATCAGGGGACCTGTAGGCTGGGTGTCTGATGATGTGGCCACAGGCAGTAGGCAAATGGCCAGCCAGACAGGCAGATGGAGTCAGGGATGTTCTACAAACTTTTCATTGCCTGGGACAGACCTGGCCTTGGGAGTCTGGCAGAGAGTATTTGGTGGAGGCTAGGCCAAGCCACCAATGGCACAAGGGAGCCAAGCTACTGGTAGAAGTGCTACAGCTATAAGATGTTAAGGATGGCTTGTTGTCCTAAGAAGCAATTCTAAGGAATGTCTTTCTTAGAAGCATGCGGCTCCAAAACACTTCCAGACACAGGCATGGAATTGCTCCATGATGGGCAGGGTAAAAAATGAAATCCATCTAAATCTTCCCCAAGAAAACTCCTAAAGGAAACTCACATTTCCTCAGGAGGACCTGTCTCCAGGTCCTCACAAACACCAAGCAGCAAAATAATGGTATCCATTTTGTTTAGATTAGGAGCTCATCAGTGCAAGGTGAGGAAGGAGCAATGTATCCCCAGACTCAGAGAAAGGACAGTGGCTCTCTGGTGGGTCAGGCTTTACTATGAATATGATTATGATTATGGTCCCTTAAAAGAACCTTCAGACGTATTTATTTTTAAGTAACTGGTGTTTTAAGATTCCAATCCCAAAATGTCAAGACTAGTTTCCTAATTCACAACTAAACAGGTGGAAAGCAATTTAGACTTAAATATTAGACTGTCTACAATTTAACTAGTTTCCTCCCCTGGAAGGAAGATGTCTAGCTTGAAGGGACTGTCTACTTTGGTGCTTTCCTTTTTGCTTTCATGGCCAAGGCCATATCCATACCATTGTCTCCTGAGATCCAGAAAACTGCAGGAGCAGATTTACCCTGCAATTGGATGCTAAAGCCAGCACACCCAAATCACTACTTTGAGGGGTACAATACCCCATTCAAAAGCCTATGAAGGTTGCTTACATTTAGTCAGCGTGGGTAATATCAGATGCTGTAACAAACAATCTGAAAATCTCAATGACTTAACATGATAAATGTTTCTTTCTTGCTCATGCAAAATCTACTCCGCTGAATGGTTCTTCTCTAAAGGGAGAGTCAGGAATCTAGTTGGTATCAATCATGAGGTTCTACCTTCCTGTGTGTTCAAGGCTGAGCTGGTATCATCCAGCTACCCAGTGGGGCACAGGGAGAGCATGGGGATCATATACTTACTACCTAGCTATCTCAGCCTAGAGGTTACACAAACCCCTACCACTCACATCCCATTGGAGAGAACGAGTCATGTGCAAGGAGAGCTGGGAAAACATAGTGTGTGGCTGGGCAGGCAGCTCCCAGCAACAGTTCTAAACTACAGAATGGGAAACCCAAATATTTGGTGGTCAGCCAACCATCTATTCCAACATAATCTCCTCACCCACTGAATTACTTCCAGACTTGTTAGTATGGTATTCGAAACCTATCCCAACTTAGCCCCCCCAATTCAAGTCATGAAGGACATCTTCTAACCAACCAGGATGACTCAGTTTCCCCCCAGATATATCAATTAGCTTTGGATGCATAGCAACCCATTCCAAAAGTTAGCAGCTTAAAACAATAACCATTTACTTCACTCATAATTCTTCAGACTGGCAATTTGGGCTGAGCCCAACTGACAGATTCTTCTCTTCCAGCTCTGCTCACTCACGTGTCTGTGGTGAGCTGGTGAATTGGCTAGCGGCTTTGAGTCTAGAGGGTACCTCAGCTAGGACAGGTTGCCTTTGCTTCACGTGGTCTCTCATCTTCCACTAGGGCTACTCCTGGCTTATAAACCTAGCAGTGGCAGGCTTACGAGAATGAGAGCACAATTGGCAGAGCCACTTGAGGCCCAAGTTCAGAACTCACTCACTTCTGCAACATTTTAATAGACAAAGCCAGTCACAAGGCCAGTTCAGATTGAAGGGGTAGAGAATAGATTCCACCTCCTTGATAGGAGGAGGCTCAAAACTACTACACCAGGTATGTCCTGTGCTCTCCATGCCCTCCTCACAGTGTGCCATCTACCTAAAACTTCTCCCTTCTCCTTGTCTTTGTCTGTGAACAACTCCAGTTCAAATGCATCCTATTCCACAATGGCTTCTGCCTTAGTTTAGGTTCTCCCCAAAACAGAGCCTGAGACAAGGACTTAGGTACAGGTATTGAGTGAAAAATTAAAAAGAGTAAAGCAGAGGGGCACCTGGGTGGCTCAGTCAGTTAAGCATCCGACTCTTGATTTTGGCTCAAGTCATGATCTCATGGTTCATGGGATTGAGGCCCATGTCAGGCTCTGTGCTGAAAGCACGGAGCCTACTTGGGATTCTCTCTCTCTCTTCCTCTCTCTCTGCCCCTCCCCTGCTTGTTCTCACTCTCTCTAAATAAATAAACTTTAAAAAGTAGTAAAGCAGAGATAGAGGAAAAGGCCAAAATAGAGGTGCTTTACTAAGATCACTGCTGTGGGCAATAAGAGATTAATTCCACAGGGATCCCCAAGAAGCTATGGGATGAGTCTCAGAAGTGACCATTCTTCAAAGAAGAACAGCTGGGAGCCTTTCTCCACCAGCTCCCATTTTTTATTGGTTGAAGTTTACTCCAAAGGACAATATCTTCCCCACACTTTCAGGCTGCTCTTGCATATGGACCAAGACAGCTCTCACCGCATCAGAGGAAAGCCCTGAGGTAGAAAGATCCATGTGCAGGTTTGAAGTGGGATGCTGTCAGCATGACCCTGAGCTCCTCTGGAATTCTCCTCTACAGCTGTGTCTGAAATCAGAGACCAGGGAATGTTTTCTGAGGTGCCAAAAATGTTAGATATAATTTCCCTGATGTCTTGTTGGAGAGGCATTCTCCCTCCTCAGGGATCCTGTGCTCTGAAGTTTCCATCAATCCTACAGCACTTATTACACATTGTTTTTAACTGCAGACATTTATATATGTGCATAATCTCCCCTGCTGGGCTACAAGCTACTGGAGGACAGCAGCCGCATCAGATAGAACTTTTTAGACCCCTAAGGAGGGATGGGGGAATGGGGGAAATAGGTGATGAGGATTGAGGAGGGCCCTTATGATGAGCATGGGTGCTGTATGTAAGTGCTGAATCACTACACTGTATACCTGAAACTAATGTTACACTGTATGTTAACTGGAATTTCAATAAAAACTCTTTTTAGAAAAGTAAATACATCTAGGGGGGCCTGGGTGGCTCAGTCAGTTGGGCATCGACTCTTGATTTTGGCTTAGGTCATGATCTCATGATTTGTGGGATTTAGCCCGGCTCCACTGTGAGCTTGGAACCTGCTTGGGATTCTTTCTCTCTCCCTCTTCTTCTGCTCCTTCCCCACTCATTCTCTGTAAACAAACAAACAAATAAACAAGCAAAGATTTAAAAAGTAGGTATGTCTAAGGCCATGCCAGGGAGTAATCTGGGGGGCACAATGGCTATGCCAGGAAGACCAATGGAGATGTTGTATTAGTGTGGCTGCCATAAT